TGGAGGCCGGGGTCGCGCCTGCGCGGTGGCGGGTGGGCGCGGGCCTGGGAGGGCGCGGGCTCCCGCATCCTGCCTGGGACTAGTGTTGCGTCGGCTCCGGCCCTGCGCGGAGCACCGGCCTGTTACCCTTCGGGACTCGTTGGAATCCGATGGGCGATCTGAGGACACTAGACTTGACGCTTTTTCCCTGACCACCCTCCCCCGCCCTTTATTTTTTATTGTGGTAAAATATATGTAACAAAATTAACCATTTAAAAGTGAGTATTCAGCGGCACGAAGACCATTCACCATGTTTTGCAGCCATCGCCACCATCCATCTCCAGAATTTTAGCGTTTGCTAAACACTAACTCCCCGTTTCCCCTTGGCCCCTGCTGACCTCTATTGCACCTTCCGTACCTATCCTAAGTACGCCCTGTAAGTGGAATCCTGCAATATCTATCCTTTTCTGTTCTGGCTTATTTCAATAGCATAACATTTTCAGGGGTCATTCATGTAGCATGTGTCACAATTTCATTCTTTTTAAAGGCTGAATAACATTCCATTGTAAGCATATACCACATTTTGTTTAATCATCTGTTCATGGACATTTGGGTGGTTTCCACCTTTTGGATTTGTAAATAATACTGCTGTGAACACTTTTGTGCAAGAATCTGCCTCTGCTTTCAATTCTTTTGGAGATATATTGAGAAGAGGAATTGTTGGAACATATGGTAGCTCTATGTTCAACTTTTTTATGTCCCCCCCCCCCCTTTTTTTTTACTAGAGGATTCTACCAACCTATATAGTAAGGTAACTCCTAGATCCTGAAGGCAAAATGTTTGGCAGTGCCTGGTACCTAGCGAGTGCTCAATATGTAGAATTATTTAGGCTCTTTTAACAATTCTCCAAGTGTGGAAGTAAAACAACCCAGTATGCTTTCTGCTTATGAAGTTTCGCTTAGGCAACTGTCTGGCCAGCAAGGAGATCTATTAAGACTACCTACAAGTGATAGAAATAATACTTCCAGAATTCTTTGATCTTTTAGAGAGAAGCCTGTTCTAGAGATGATTTTATATTATATACTGTGGGCAGCCTAGGTAATTATAAAGGGGGAGAATCTCAGTAGTATCCTAAATAATCCTGTAGCTTATTGACTATTTTCCCATACCTGTGACAGGTAACAGTTCGTGAGGCTATAAATCAAGGTATGGATGAGGAGCTGGAAAGAGATGAGAAAGTATTTCTGCTTGGGGAAGAAGTTGCCCAGTATGATGGGGCTTACAAGGTAACCAAGATACAGGGAAGCTATTACAAAATTGAGGTGACTATCTGCCCACAGAGACACATAAAAGTAATAGGGTCAATGCTTAATTTTAGGTTAGTCGAGGCCTATGGAAGAAATACGGAGATAAGAGGATTATAGACACACCCATATCTGAGGTAAGCCATCCATCAGGAAGCAGACCTTTAAAGTGTATACTGTTGTAATTTTTATGGGTTTTCACATATGTTTGTGTTTTGTTTTATAGATGGGCTTTGCTGGAATTGCCGTAGGTGCAGCTATGGTATGAATCTCATCCAAAGAGATTTTTAACATGACCCTTTGAAAGCATTATTTGAATGTTGGAGGAGCAGAGTAGTTGTTTGCCCCTCCTCATTGCTGTTTTAAGTTTTTTTAACATACATGTTTTTTATTTGACAGGCTGGGTTGCGGCCCATTTGTGAATTTATGACCTTCAATTTCTCCATGCAAGCCATTGACCAGGTTATAAACTCAGCTGCCAAGACCTACTACATGTCAGGGGGCCTTCAGTCGGTGCCCATTGTCTTCAGGGGGCCCAATGGTGCCTCAGCAGGCGTAGCTGCCCAACACTCACAGTGCTTTGCAGCCTGGTATGGGCACTGCCCAGGCTTAAAGGTGGTGAGCCCCTGGAATTCAGAGGATGCTAAAGGACTTATTAAATCAGCCATTCGGGATAACAATCCAGGTCAGCAGAGTAACCCTTGGGTCTCTTGAACATTAAAGAACTAAAATGAAATCTTGCATGGAAGTCACCATTAAGAGCTTCTAGTTAAGCTTAGACATATCATATAACATCTTAATGATTTATAGATAAAGAAGGTAAAAAATGTGTTTTTCTTATTTTTGACTGCATGGGGGCCAGTTAGGTAAAGGAGACACTTACTACATACCTACAACACTGGTTTAACCTCATAGATAAAATTAGGATTGGTCGACCAGACTACAAATGTTAGTACCTAAACTATCCTCAAGGATACGGGACACGATAGAGGCTTCCTAATCAGGAGAGTGAAACGTTTCACAAAACAAATGATAGTGGCACTGTCCCTCTCATGCGAGCATCTCCTAAGTTCTAAGGGGCCCTACAAGACTTACAACCAGGGGAGCAGTGGGCAGTGGCAGCTTGTCCTGGGCTGACCCCCTGAACCTGTTTCTAAGGCCCCCTTTTCTCTGACTTACCAGTGAGCCAAAGCAGCTCCACCTAGGCGCTCTCCTATTGCATCGTCTATTCTAAGCCCTTGTTTCACTGTCCCCAGCTTTAATAAACATTCCCTCTCTCAAAAAAATGTGTTGTGTGTACATTTTTAGTCATGTAGTTACTTTTGTTTAAATATTTGTATTTTGCAGTGGTGATGCTAGAAAATGAATTGATGTATGGAGTTCCTTTTGAATTTCCTGCAGAAGCTCAGTCAAAAGATTTTCTGGTTCCTATTGGAAAAGCCAAAATAGAACGGCAAGGTAAGAAAACTTACTGTACATTTAAACATTATTTGTAATCTAGCCCCTCTGTTTGTGTTATTCAGATTCATTCTACACTGTATTGCCCTTTACTCTGACTAGGGAAGTACAGGATGAGTTCAAGATAAGAATGGGTCATGCCCTAATTGCTCATACACTTGTGCTTTTCTAAATCTTAATCTTATAGATTTGTGTTTCATTTCTAGGAAGGTTGCCACATTCCTCATATTACTGGAATAAAGCTGCGTTGAAGACTTTACACGTGAATGTAGTTTCAATCTCTGATCTGTGACTACTTTGTTTCAGGGACACATATAACTGTAGTTGCCCATTCAAGGCCTGTGGGCCACTGCTTAGAAGCTGCAACAGTGCTGTCTAAAGAGGGAATTGAATGTGAGGTGAGTAGACATTCCCTTGTTCTTAAAGAATCAGAAAGATTCCTTTTAAATTTACGGCCCAGAAATAGGGGTTTGAGTCCTATAACAGGTTACCTAGATGTAAAGTCTTGCTTTGTCACTCAGTTCTGCCTCTGCTTAAAGCTGGGAATCTGCTTACTTTTCAAATAGAGTTTTTTACCACCTAGGTTCTGGATCTTTTAGAATAGTACCTGCTCTCTGAGCTTAAGATTCGGCCTTGGAGCTGGAGATTGGGAGAAGGGGAAACTTAGAAGTCAGTGAGTCTAACCTTTCATCACCAGGACCTACCACATGTTAGTTACACTTGGGCAAGTTATGTACTCTAAATGTCAAAAGATATGGAGTGATCTTTAGAAAGATCAGCTAAGGGCTCTGGTGTGGCTCAGTTGGTTGGGTGCCCTAAAGGTCAGGGCACATGCTTGAATTTAGGGCTTGATCCCCCAGTAGAGGGTGTGCAGCAGGCAGCTGATCAGTGTTCCATTCTCACATCGATGTTTCTCTCCCCCCCCTTCTTCTCTCTCTAAAAATCAAATTCAAAAACCTTTTAAAAAAAGAACAGCTGAGAGAGAGCTGGCTACAGAGAACAGAGTGGGAATAGTATATTTTCTGTCCCATCAGGATGGTTGTGAGAATTACCCTTAGTATAGTGCCTGGTACACCAGAAGCAGTCAAATGTTATTATTTTTTTTATTTTATTTTTTAATCCTCACCCGAGGATATTTTCTCCATTAGTTTCTAGAAGGGAGGGAGGAGTGGGGGAGAGAAAGAGAAACATCCATGTGAGAAACACACATTGATTGGTTGCCTCCCACATGTGCCCAGACCAGGGCGGAACCAGCCCTTGACTGGGAACTGAACCTGCGACCCTTTGGTCCATGCTGACACTCTGACCACTGAGCCAAACCAGCCAGGGAGGGTAAGTGAATTATGTAGGTTAACAGGAGCTGTTTGTAGTAAAGATAAGATTTTGTTTTAATTAAATTTCCCATTATATCTCCTTTATGAATAGGCAGATTAGATTTTCCTAGACCCAAAGATGAATAGGAAACCAAAAGTGGTATTATCAGGATAAAACTATATGATGCAGTGGCTCTATAAAGCTTATCTATTATATTATCTGTTTAGGTAATAAATCTACGAACTATCAGACCAATGGATGTTGAAACAATAGAAGCCAGTGTTATGAAGACCAATCATCTCATAACTGTGGAGGGAGGCTGGCCACAGTTTGGAGTAGGAGCTGAAATTTGTGCCAGGATCATGGAAGGTATTTCAGAAAAACTGGTTTTAAATGTCAAGCTATATTAAACACTGTGTACCTGGATATTTGATAAAGAGATTAAAAGCTAGGAGAGGCCAAATTACTTGAACTTTCAATTTGTCAGCTTGACATTTTTTCTTTGGGTAAATGTTTTAAAAAGCACAACCAGATCAGTCCCCAGGAATTAGCATTCCTTTAGATTCTTGTCTTTGGGCAGCCATACCTTTTGTAACAGGGTGTTAGTGTCCAGCTGGCTTTTCTTGCCTCTCTCTCAGTTACTCCTCCTCCTCTCCTAGGCCCTGCATTCAATTTCCTGGATGCTCCTGCAGTTCGTGTCACTGGTGCTGATGTCCCTATGCCTTATGCAAAGATTCTAGAAGACAACTCTGTACCTCAGGTTAAAGACATCATATTTGCAATAAAGAAAACATTGAATATCTAGTATGGACTTGAATATCAAGTTATTGGGATTTTATTTAAAATATGTGCTGACATTACCTGGATTGAAGTGTAAGATCTTATTATTCATTAATGTTTTTGTACTGGGAAGAAGTTTAAATGTGCTTGTATGTGGCATAACTCCATTCTTGCTGCTCTAGACTCCATGCCTATTTTTTGTCTGTTACAATTGCCATTTCTTTGAATAAGATTAATGTAAAATTTTTACCCTCTCACTAGAAGGACAAGGTATGAGTGTGGCAGAGTCCTCATGAAAGATACATATATATATAAAAAGACAACTTGTATGTAAAAAAAAGCATATGATCTACATTTACTGTTAGATTGTTTTGATAAGGAATAAAGGATTTCCTAACTATGACTAATTGTATTTTTATATTCTTGAAAATAAATGTGGGATGGAAGTCTTAAAATTCTATTAAGAAATTAGTATCATCAAGAACTAATTATTAATTGTCTAGACCACATCATGCTTACTATAGGAACTTGTCCACACTCTTCAAAAGCCTATTCTAGGGGGTTCCAAGATGGCAGCAGATTAAGTGGAAGCTACACTGACACTCCCAGGACCAAACTGGAATTGCAACTAAAATACAGAAAAAACATCCTGAATAATCAACTTAGGACTAGCTAGAGAGAACCCTTATAACCAAGGATATAAAGTGGAATTGAATAGAGGCTGGTAGGAAGTGTGGAGGCATGAGAGGGCTGGCTGGGCTCCCACAGGCAGCAGCTGAAGTTCTGGAGGGATATCTCAGCTGTGGGGGGTTCCCACTGAGAACTCTGGGGTCTAAACCCCAAGCTGGACTCCCCAGCTCAGAGCACCAGAACTGAGAAAGGTACCCACATAACAACTGGCTGTGAAAAGCAGTGGGGTTTCTGTATGCTAAGGAAAGATGGCTGGTATTGCAGGCACCCTCTTAAAGGGCCAATGCACAAAATTTTGTGTGCAGCTACTCACTTGGGTTCCGGCAGAGGGAGGGCAGAGTGGACTAGAGCTGTGTGAGGAAAATCTAGAGGTGCTGGCTTTGGGGACAGAGCTTGGAGGGTGGCTATCTGGATTCCTGTGCTGAGTCATTCCCCCATACTGTAGAGGACATCTTTCACAGGCAGACATTTACCTTCCAAGCAGCTTTTGCCTGGGAGGGAAGCAATTACCCCAACCTGTGGAGTTTATGCTTTGCTGTGGTCTACACGAGGCTCATGAAGAGAATAAAAATCAGCCTGCAGGCAGAGGTGGACCTCTGGGTGCTTTGAGTCTTTGCCTGATCTGCTTCTGGACCCAAGGCTTGGACAAGCAGACCTTGGTGCACATCTTGTTCCTTTCCAAATGCACCCAGCCCCAGCAGATGGAGCCACAAGCTGTGGATCACTGATGGATTTAAACGGTACCCAAGGCCAATCACAAACAGCATCTGACATTGGCCTGCACCAGAGACCCTCCAAAAAGACTGAGAGTCCTAGCAGATCTACCTAATACATAGAAACAAACTCAAACAAGCAGCCAAAATGGGGAGACAAAAAAAAAAGCCCCAAAAGAAAGAAAAAGAATTCTCCAGAAAAGCCATATAAAATGGAGATAAGCAATTTATCAGATATAGACTTCAGAACAGTGATTGTAAGGATGCTCAACAGCATGAGAAAAGACATGGAAACTATGAAGGAAATTAAGAATGACATAGCACAAATAATACACAGGAAGGGATAAAGAGCAGATTAGTGGAAGCTGAGGATCGGATCAGAATTAATGATAGAAAAAAGCACTCAATCAGAGATCTAAAAAGAAACAATTAAAAAAACAGGAGGACAGTTTATGGGAGCTGTGGGACAACATGAAATGTAACAATATTCACATCACAGGAGTACCAGAAGTATACAGGGATAGAGAACCTGTTTGAAGACATAATGGCAGAAAAGTCATAAAGTCATGCAAGTTCAGGAGGCACAGAGGGTCCAAATAAGAAGAATCCAGAGTCCCACGCCCAGACACATCATAATTAAAATGCCAAAAATTCAAGACAGAATCTTAAAGGCAGAAAGAGAAAAGCAATCTGTTACTTTTTAGGTTGTGGGCTTGATCCCCAACACGGGACGTGCAGGAGGCAGCTGATCAATGACTCTCATCATTGATGTTTCTATCTCCCTCTCCCTTCCTCTCTCTGAAATCAGTAAGATATATTAAAAAGAAAAAAAAGAAAAGCAATCTGTTACCGACAAAGGAGCTCCCATAAGGCTGTCAGTTGATTTCTCATCAGAAACTCTACAGGCAAGAAGGGAATGGCATTAAGTATTCAAGGAAATGAAAAGCAAGGATCTGAAACCAAGACTACTCTATTCAGCAAGGCTATCATTCAAAATAGATGGTGAAATAAAGAGCTTCCCTGAAAAAAAAAAGGCTAAAGGAGTTTATCACCATCAAACCAATGTTGCAGGAAATGTTAAAGAGACTGCTGTAATAAGAAGTAGAATGCTTGCCCAACTGGTGTGGCTCAGCAGTTAAGCACTGACCTATGATACAGGAGATCATGGTTCAATTCTCGGTCAGGGCATATGTCAGGGTTGTGGGTTTGATCCCCAGTAGGGGGCATGCAGGAGGCAGCCGATCAATGACTCATCATTGATGTTTCTGTCTCTGTCCCTCTCCCTTCCTCTCTCTGAAATCAATAAAGACATATTTTTTATAAAAAAAAAAGTAGAATGCTTGGTAAAGCTCCCCTGTGAACACGTCCAGACCAGGCTTTTGTTTGCTGGGAGTTTTTTGATTACTGCTTTGATTTCATCAACTGTTGTTGGCCTGTTCAGGTTTTCTGATTCTTCCTGCTTCAGTTTTACATTACCTCACTCATATGTGGAATCTAAAACAAAATAGACTGAGGAACAAAATAGATCCAGAGACAAAGAAGCATGGAACAGACTGATGAATCTTAGAGGAAAGGTGGGGGTGGGGAGTAGGTGGGGGGAGATTAATCAAAGAACTTATATGCATATATGCATAACCCATGGACACAGACA